TCCTAAGTACTTCATATCTTCCACCATTACTCTCATTCCTAAGGAGACTAATTGCAAGAAATGGGAGCAATTTAGGCCCATCAGCCTCACCAATGTGGTTACAAAGATTATTAGCAAAGTGATTGTTGCTAGAATTCAACCTCATCTACATAAGATCATCAACATGAACCAAACCGCTTTTATTAGGGGTAGAAGCATAGTGGATAATGTCCTTCTAGCATAGGAACTATATCAAGATCTGGATAGAAGCTGTAGGAGGGTAATCTGATATATAAATTGGACATCAACAAAGCTTATGACACAATCGACTAGGAGTTTATAGAGGAGGTTTTGCAAGCTAGAGATTTCTCTGTGGATTTCATCAATTTAATCATGAGATGGCTTAATAATAATGCTCACTCTTTGCTTATTAATGGGGCTTCACATGGCTTCTTCAAAGGAACTAGAGCAATCAAGCAAGATGACCCTCTATCTCCAACTATTTTCATTTTGGTTTGTGACTACCTTTCTTTAATGCTTAACCAAATATCAAATGAATCCCCACATAATCAATTCAAGCATAGATCCAATATTGCCATCAGCCATCTATCTTATCCAGATGATGTTATCCTTTTTTCTAAAGCTACCAAACCTGCTGCTAGACAAATCTAGAAATGTCTCAATGCTTTTCTTGCCTATTCTGGACTTCTGCTGAACAAATAAAAGTGCAACATCTTTTTCAGTAAAGGGGTCAAACAGCCTTTTAAACTGTGGCTTTCAAACTTCACAGGTTTTAAGCCTTCTAGCCTCCCCCTAAAATATTTAGGGGTTCATTTGCTGAAAGGTAGGACCAGACAAATTCATTTTGATGATGTGGTTACAAAGATACAAACTAAGCTTATCAGCTAGACTAACTCCTTTCTTTCTAATGGATGAAGAATCACCCTTTTAAAGCATGTTCTATCTGTTTTCCCTTCCTACATCCTGCAGATGGCTACTTTGAAGAAGAGCACACAACTGCTACTTGAGAGAACTTTTTAATAGATATCTTTGGTCTGGTCAAAGAAAACTAAAAGCACTGGACCAACTGGAATACTATGTGCAAACCTGCTGAACATGGGGGGATTGGTTTCAGAAGCTTTAAACACTTACAACATATCAATTTATGCAAACTTTGGATACACTTCAGGGCTCAGGAGTCCCTTTGGGCAATTTTTCTGAAAGGAAAATACTGTAGAGATTCCCATCCTTCCCTTGCCACACCTAAACTGGGAGATTCCAAAATTTGGTCTCAAATGCTCACAGTTAAGGCCACTGTTGAAGATCACTTCATTTGGGAGTTAGGAGAGGTGAACATTAATTTTTGGCTTGATAACTGGATGGGAGATGGGAAGCTTGCAGATGTTCTCCCAGCACCTTTTCCTTCTATAACGAAGGTGTCTGACTGCTGGATTGAAGGGCATTGGAATCTCCTTGCACTTCAGAATATTTTGATACTTCAACCATTCATAGGATTATTATCATCCCACTGGACCAATCCAGGAAAGATAAACTCATCACCAAAAAAGGAGTATCTCAATCTATTACTGCTTACATCTACTCTCAACAATCCCATGGTGTGAAGATCTCTTGGGGGAAACCTCAATGAAGTAAATTCCTATCCCCTTCAATGTCCTTCTTTTGTTGGAGACTCTTTTCCAGACTTCTCCCCACTGATGACATCCTGAAACTGAAATGGTTGAGAGGCCCATCCTGTTGTGTATGGTGCAAGCTGCATGAGGAAACTACTGATCATCTCTTTTTCCAATATAAATTTGTTCAACAAGTTTGGTTAGCTGTGCTAAATCATTTGAAAGTGCAAACAATTAATCTGACCTGACAGCTGTTTCTTGTTTTCTGGAAAGACTGGCATCAGTTGAAACTTATGGCCATCCCCTATGTGGTAGCATGGTTCACTTGGATGGCTAGGAACAAGGCCAAGTTTGAAGAGCAAAAGCAGATTGCCTCAAAGGAGGCCTCTAACTGCCTTGCTTTTGTGAAGAAATTTTCTCTATAGAAGGATTTTCCTGATCTTCTTTCGATAGGCAACAATTCCAGTCAGCCTATCCCTAAACAACTTTTAGTTTATTGGCTCAAGCCAGTGGCTGGATGACTGAAAGTAACACTGATGGCAATTTTTATCAATCCACTGCTGGCATTGGAGGGCTTTTTAGAAATTCACAAGGCTCTTGCCTTCTTAATTACCTTTCTCCCACTGTTGCTGAAGATGCTTTGGAATCTAAAACTATTGTTGTTTATTAGGCCATTCACATTGCTTCTAAAGCCAAAATTCAAAACCTTTTGGTTGAATCAGACTATGAGATCTTGATCAGCATCCTCTTGAACCAACTTACCTACCCCTGACACATTTGAAGTGGAAAAACAAGATTAATCACATGTCCTACAACATCAATATGAGGTTCCAATTTGTCCACAGAGAAGGTAACCGACTTGCAAATTGGCTTGCTCAAGCTGTTTTTGGGGAAGATTGTCCACTTATCACTAAAAAAGTTTCTTCTCCTCTTTTATTTCACCTAAAGGGAGACCTTCTTGGTTTGCCCTTCTGCAGACTTTTGTAATCTCTGTTTTTCTGGTTGGTTTTTTAATGCATTTCTTTCACCTTGGAAAGCTAAGTCCTTCTGGGTGAACTTTTGCATATATATATATATATATATATA